CACTCCTGGAACCTCAGGAGTGGCTAGAAGCCCACTGATTGCCACACAGGTAAGTATTCCCTATGCTGCTTGTACTTATAGGAAACCTGACCCATAGATTTTTTGCATGAGCATCACAATGTTAATATTATTGGTAATAAAGGAGTGTCTGTGAATTCTGAGATTTTCCATTCTCAAACAGAATTTTGTTCTACTTTCTTTTTGTGCATCTGAGATTAAAATAATTATTCCATTGAAATGTTACAAGATCTGACAAGCTCAGATCAAATTCACCCAGTAGAAGAAAGTTGGCAAGTTAGTTACACTGGAATTGACAAAGGTTTGTGAGGTTTGCTAAGGAAAAAAAAAAAGTGCCTGAATTTCTATCAGGCATGTGAAAAATGAGAGTGTCTGATGTGCCTGGGTTCCCAGTATGAGTGTGTGTGCCGGCAGTATAAATTATTTTTATTCAGCTTTTGGGCTGGTTATTTTTTTAAGTCAGGATAATAAAAAGGGAGCATTCTACTCTTGCTCCACTTTCACAGGTTTTGATTAGTGCAAAGACCGCAAAGATAAACGTGACCTTTCCGTTCTCTTCTTCATTCCTTCTCATAAGAGACTCTTTTTTCTCTTAGCAATCTCTGGAAGTACTTCCCCTTTGCTTGCAGGTCTCTGGTGCATTTTCCCAAATGGCAATTGTTTAGAACATCTTGTCTGGCTCCTGCTCTTTGCTGCTACCTTTCTGCATATAACTGGGGAAAAGGCAAAACTGAGAACTGAACAATTTTTCAAGTAAACTTTCATAAACTCAAATAAAAGCCTTAACATTTTTCTTCTAACTCTTTCAAACAAGTACTGTGTATTTTCTAGGTCATTATTAGTACACCAGCTGCTAGAGAAAGACTTTACTAAAGAGGGAAAACTAAGAAACAAAAACAGATGTTGTGCTACTGAGCCCTCCCTTGTTATTGCACTGGCTCAGTGGCCACAGTTCACATGGGTACTGGCGGGCATCTAGCTACAGATTGGTTACACCAGTTAGATGAAAAAACTACGTACAAATGGTGAGAACTGAAACTGGAAAATCACAGGAGGGTGTAAAAATCAAGGTAGTCTTTTTTTCATAACTATAAAACTTAGATTTAATAATATATATTTTTGACTTCAGTGTAATTCCTGATGACCAAGAGCAATAGCAAACTACTTCAACAGGCTGCCTAAATGAGCTGGAGCAAAGCAATGTAAATGCAGAGGCTGAGCATTCTAGAGCAGCTGCAGTGGTTCTGCTGCAGCAACCATTTGATAAAGAAGTGCCTCCAGCCAAATTCAGCTGGTATGCAGCTATGAGAAAAATAAGCAACACTCAGGAATAAAGGCATTTTAAAGGAACACGAGGATTATGTCTAAATATATTATCTACACTTAAAGGCAGTTTCTGAGACATCTAGATGAAAATTATTCACGGGATGACTGGAAATAGGTGCTTGTGAATAACACCATTTTCTTGTGAAAAGACTGGAAAACTCATAGTGTCCCTTCTCCTTTAGGAGACAACAGCATCACTTGCTATTAGGATGTTGAATATTAGGGAATAGAAAAATCAAGTGTTTGCTGAAAGGGCATTGAAGAAATCAGTGCAAGAACCAAGTACAGGACTCGACTCTTGGGAATTTGAGCTGATACCTTTAAATAATTTACCCTTTTTGTTCTGTTTTTCCCACTACAGATTAAAGGAACTTCAGTATCTGATGTGGTCAGTCTGGTGCATTTCACGTCATTAATGATCATTTCAAAAAAGAAAACCACAATGTAGAAAAACAGAGTAGATTTTCCACATTAAGAGTAATTGGCAACATCAGTGAAGCGTCAGCACTTACCCTGTAATGGTCAATTTGACAACACATGTCTAAGTGCCAAACCACAAGCCCTTACAATTCTGTAAACTCAGTTAATTGCTGCGTTTCAGGTTGAGATCATGCTTATATTTATACCTGAATAAAACTTCCCTATTAAAAATAACTTGGACAATTTCTGTTCCTTAAAATTTTACAGATGATTTGTAGGCTGAAACACAAACGTTTTTTAACTGCATGTCGAATAGCAAACAATGTAACAGCAACTGCACAGTGCATTGTGCACAGCTATTCTGGGCACAAGCTCTGCTCCACTGGAATAACTTCAAATCTGGTGCAAATTAGCAGAATCCACCTATCATCTCCAGTTTATTTTCTTGATGGAGATCTACTGCAGCAAGCCAAAATCTTTCGAATATTCCACCGAATATTATTTTCCATTTATTAAAAATCTGCATGGTTTTCTTGACAGGCAGTTTATAAGTTCCAGCTTGTTACTACTTCTTGCTGAATTGCTTTTTCCAGGTGAAAGCTTTACACTTATTAACACACTGAAGCAAATGCTGCTGTCAGGCCTTCCGCCTTATGTTCTCCCACTACCCATATTGTTGCCTACTTCATTCTCACTTAAATGGCATTGGAGTTGTATCCCTATGCAAAACAAAGGGAGAAATTGCATTTCAAAATATTACTCCTTTATATATCAAGTGAGGTAGCGTCACTTTCTTCTTACTAGTTACGTGTTTTATTAACGAACAAGTTGACTGTAAGAGTTAGATGTTTTCACCCTGGAGAACAGAAGGCTCAGGGTGGGGCCTCAACACATTTTTCCAGTGCTTTGAGGACAGAAATTCTCTTCACAGGGAGCCACACTGAGAGGATAAGGGGCAATGAATACAAATTGCATGGAGAGACGTTTCATCTATTCAAATTTTTTACAGAGAGAACAATCACTGGATGTGCTGAAGGTCCCGTCAGTGGCAGTGTTCAGGATGAGAGAGGACAGAGAGCTCGGTAATCTCACCCAGGCTTGCCTCTCCATGGAAGTCTGGACCACCTGATCTTCTGAGGTTCCTTCTAACCTGAGGACCCTTCTGAGAATCTCTCTATTTACCCCTTAAATCACAATTCACTTGCCTTCCTTGCATGAGTCTGAACAGAGTAAAATATACTCTTAAAATATGCACTCCAACCTACTTTATGTTGTTCTTCCAGGTATGTGGTTGATATCAGATTTAGACAGAGATGACAATTCTCAGTGCAAACTAAGGCATTATTTATTTCTGCATCACAAAACTGCATAGGTTCACAAGCGATTTGTAACAGGACCCTATAGGGTAGTTTTAAATGACAACCGAGTTAAACCCTGACACAGGTAAAAAGCGATCAGAAGACAGTGGAAATCCAAATTACAGTGACAACAGATTGCAGAAATTAAGGGCTTTTCCACACAAGGTTCTAGACTGACTTGTCCGGAACTGAAATGAAAAGCAAGACACTTATGGATTTTGAAAAAACAGAACATTTTCAGAAGTTCTGTCATGTGAAAAGCTCTTGCTCACCATCTGTCAAGTTCACTGTCATCTGGCAATTCTGAGCATTACCCAAAGGAAGCATTTAGGGTGATTTGTTTTCTGAAGATCAGAATTTAACCAGCTCCAGATAGCTGACTTTGGATTAGGACCAAAATACATAAGACATTTTTGTCATTGTGGATAGTTTTTTCCCATCCATGTAATCTGAGAGGATAAAACCCAGCTTCAGTTAAATTACTGTGGTGTTTTGGTTCCATATGTTAGTAGTTTGTGTGTTTGTTTAATTTTAATTGGATAAGAACACAAGGAACCAAGGAGACATGTTTTCTGTTTAGCAGAAGCTTTTTCTATTCCAAATTTTGCAACAAGCAGGTAATCTGAACGACAACCTATTCCAGTATTGCAGCTCTGGTTTGACAAATAAAGGTTAAGCTTCCGTATCAAATAAACCTAAAAAATCTTAGCCTAAAAAACTTAGCTTAAAAATCTTTCAAACTCTCATAAACACAAATAGGTGAGAGTTTTGTAGCTGACAACTGAGAAATGCAAAATCACACTTAGGTCACTTGAAGCCTCCAGATTATCTCCAGGAATCAAGCATACAACACTGTTCAAAGTTAACTAAAAAAGTAGTCATCTCTCTCACATAACATGTCAATATGTTGTGAACTGACTACTTCCAAATATCAAATTATGTATTGATAGCTCTTCCTTGCTCAAGTCACAATTTTAAATTATTTTGCTTTTTGCAATGATCATAGTTTGAGTTCTAATTTGACAGAAAAACACATTTTAAAAATAAAGACAAAAATTACTCCCAAAAATGTAAAAAAAATACTGAAAGAAAGCAAGGGAGAAAAAGCAAATTTTGATCATTTCTGATCATTTTTAAAGAAGGAAGATTATTTTTCCTCTAACTATAAGAAAATGAGAACCTCCATGGAATATTTTATTTCTACAATTCAGCATTTTCTACTAGAAATCATTCCTTTATGGAAAATTTCTGATCAGGTAACTAGATTCTTGTAAATCCAGGAAATAAATAATAGCTAAATACAATAACCAAACTGTGTTTCCTGCTGGGCACACAAGAAACCAAGGCAGAGTTTGGAACCAAGCCCTTACTTTCATGTCCTAACGCAGATGATCAATAATGAACTGTTCTTCCTCATTTCCTCATTTCACTGATTTTATTTGCATTTCATTTTCCATTTAAGATGCTATAGAAGTGTACAAATTCAAGATTCACTTTTGGTAACAGTACAAGAATGTATTTTTAATAGTTCTATGCATTTTTTGTGTATTGAAACATTCTGTAAGAAAACAACTTGTGTTTAACAAACTCTTCAGCCTAACACTGAGTAAATTCCTCATGCACTCAAACACATTTTCTACCAAAGAACTATCATTATCATTCTCATATTGTTTTCTGATACCTGCTGCAATAAAATGGATAATCAAAATCCTCAGTATGTTAGCAAAGGTATCTAAGATTTCATGTCTGTTTAGCCATTGAAATTGTTCTGGTCCAATGTTCGTCTTGGCATTCCCACTGCAGCAGAAAACAAAGTCAGGTGCAATAACTTTGAAAAAAACCCCTAGAATGTGAAGACAAGAAAACAAGAGAAATTACCTGGGTCTTCTATCGATAAATTCTTCGTTAACCATTGAACAATATCTGAACCTAGGAGCAAAACAAAAAGGCATTTATAGATTAGTAAGTTTTCTCTTGCTATTTTTCAGATCTCTGAGGCAGTTCATATTGTTCCTTCACAGAAGAGATCTACATTTTTTGCTCAGTCTGTCTAGAAAAAAACCACTGGCCATTCTATTTTAGTTTAGTTGCTTTTTTTAGCTTTGTTTTAGCAGTGAAGCACAGAACTTTAGGCTAAGACAAAAAGTAAGCGAAGTGCATTAAGTGCGCAATAGTAGTCTACATTTTAAAAATGACACTACCACAAAATGTACATAGAAAAACACTTTATTAATCTGTTTCCCCACTCCCTGTGCACCCCCCCAACCCTGCTTAAAAATTAGTTTACCAGTAAAGGCAAAGTTACCTATATAGGGACTACCAGCATATCAAATTTCACCTCATAGCTAAGCTATTGACAAAATTCATTTTTCCCTCAGTGCTGAAGTGCTTTCCTTACCATTCCTGTCTCCCTTGCTCTCTATCCCTTCATTTATTGCATATCTTTTTCTTTCTATTTAATTTCCTGCCTTATTTTAAGGTCCCATGCTATTGCTTACCTCCTAACACCTTTGATACCGGATTTGTTTCTGCCTTTCACACTGAGTATCCTTCCAACCTCACCTCCTAATTCCTGACCCATCTGCTCCTGTTGGGCATGCACTTCTATCAACTGTACTTCTATCACACTTTGCACTTTATGCCACAAGCTGAAGTCAGGCTTGTATTTCAGACAGAGCTACAGTTGAACTTTACCCACTGTGAATATGATTTGCAAAATAAACTACGAATCATTGCTGCAGACAATAAAAAAAACCCAAACCACATTCATAATTTGAGAAACTTGAAATAACCAAACTGGCTTAGAGGGAAAATGGGTGAAACACTGAGGGATGTCATATCCATGTTCTTCATGTTTCATGAAAAAAAAACCCAGTTAAGACGGGCAATGTAATAGAGAGAGACATCACATATTTGCTTATAGAATCAATATTTAAGTTGCTCATCCATTCCCCACCAAGCATAACAACAAACCACTTTTATAAACCTTAAATTTAAAACAACAATAAAAATCTATACAACTTACACAAGTATAAACCAAATCAAAGCAATAAAAGCTCTTGAATGCATTATAATATATAACATTAGAATGTGGAGTATATTTCCCCTGTCACTCCTTAGATTCAGTTTCTTCCTGTATTCTACATACTGCATATTTTTCTTTGCTTTTCTTAAGCAATGAAAACAGTATTTTAAATAGCATTTCAAAAAAGAAAGGAAATCTTGTTCTCCTTCTAGCTTTTATTTTATTACATTCAGTGAATAGCTTTATCATGTATTTTACAAAGCCTCATTGATTATATCATAGCTTTCCATGTGTGTATACATTACAAACTTGATTACATACCAGTAAAAATCTGTAGAGACTTAACAACCATGTCCAGAGCAAGTATTTTTCATTGCTATGTTAAATGTCTAAATCTTGGGAGATTTTAAACTGCAGTGGCAGACTTTCTCACAGTATTTACACTGCTGCATTCCTTAAATGAAATTTACCTTAGCATGCTATTGGAGGGATACAAAATATTTCAGACAGATATTCATACCCCAAAAATATTTTATTTTTTAAAACAAAATTTTAATCCTTTCTTTATATATATGACATTTACAAGGTTGACACTGAAGGAAGAGTTTTAGTTTAAAGAAATAAGATGAAACTTCATAAACGTCAATGATGCAGTTCCAAGCATAGCTATATTTTTCTGTCAGCTGACTAGAGAAGTTAGTCAGCCCTAAATATTTTCCTAAATCTTCAAAGATCAGACAAAAATTGGAAAAACGAAATGACATTTTGAAAACTGATTTTTAACTTTGTCTTCTTTCAAATCTCTCAGGTACCATATGGGAAGAAGTTTTCTATTCTTTTCATCTTGCCTTCAAGCACTTTTTCCTTTTTGCCTCTTTTGAAAATTCATATTTGAGTGTACATGGCCTGCACATCAGAAATTTCACCTCCATATGTTCCAGCGTCTTTTGGCTTATTATAAATAATAATGGGAAATCAACTTTCTTGAAAATGGCACCATCTGATTATGAAAGTTCATTGATGCTCTAGCGACACTTCACCCTGAAGCCATTGCCCCAGCACATGAAAGCCTGGACAGAGTTTCAGCCAGCTGTTGCATTCTAACACACTGATGATTTCAGAGGTATGACTTTCATGACAGATGAATAAATATCAACATCAACACTCTCCTTCTTGAGTGAAGGCTATTCAAGCGAAACAAACTTGCAATTTGTCATATGGCAAGTGAGAAATGCATTCTTTCATATTTCTTTGGGAGATCTTGGGGCCAACTCTAGTCCTAAAATAATAAAGGTATTAACTTGTAGAACTTGCTGGGTGTTTTTGTAGCTACTAGTTTTAATGTCTAATCAACAATATTGTTTCCCTTAATTATTCCTGTGCCCTCTTCTAAGGTTTATTACTTAGGCAAAGTGTTTCTAAAGGCAAAACCATTACTCTAATTTCTTATCTCAGGGGAAAAAAAAAAGAAAACCACACCAAGGCAGCAAAACAGCTAAAAACTGTTTTGCTGGAAAATAGTACTTCAGTAAATTCTTGACAGTTTTCATACATGACACTTGACATCTATACGAATTATGATTCAAGACTATAAACTTCATTATTTCCAAACAAGAACTAATACTTATGGAATGAAAAATCTTTAACCTTCAAGCCTGATTCTGTCTTATCACCAGAAATCTAGCAAAAAGACAAGCTAGTCAGATGATGTAAATTTCATGGAAGCCACTACCTTGGCACTGGACTCACCTGAAAAGGAAAATTTCAGCAATCCAAAATAGAAAAGGCTGTTTCAGATACTCAGTTTCTGTATACTGTTTAATGTGTGATATCAAAGACCCAGCTATAACATTGTCAAAGCAGATTCTCAAGTTCTCCAGGTCTCCCTGCCTCACTTCCAGCAAGCAGCAAAAAAGGCAAGTTGGATATTAGATCTGCAAGGTGCAGAAGATTTCAGCCTAACAGAAGATTTCAGCCTAACTGCCAACTGAATTTTGAAATCCTAGAAAAACCTTCAGTTGTCATGCCAATTTATAAAGCAAATAAAATTGGACAAGGCAAAGCAATAATCTTTAACAATACCTTAAAGCTAGCAAAAGCAGAAAATAGTTGAAAAGGGGGGTGTTTTAGACATAGAACCTGAAAGTCAAGAGTGAGATTCCTTAAATACCAGCACCTATCCTAATAAAGGCAATAAAATTCACAAGATCTTACTCAAGTCCAAAAAAAAGACAGACTTTAATCTTCTTTAAAGAACTAGGCAAAACCACATCTATATTCATATACAAATGAAAAAGACTCCGTCATGTTCTTTGTGAAATGTACTTGCTAAAGATTCTACAGGTGATTAATTTTATATTAAATGAAATAGCAGCTGCTGAGGCTGTCACAGCATTTTAAGAAAATATTTTTGAGGAAAGCATGCTCTCTGAACTCTGCAATAGTAATTTCCAAGTCAAAGTCATAAAGGCCAGGGCAATGCTAAGGTTACCCTTCAGAGAAAATCACCTATTCTAAACAAGTCCTTACAGAATACATTTTCAAAAAGTGCTGGTTCTGACCTATAGAAAGTTTCACGGGAATTATAAATCAAATTTTTTCTATGCACAGATGCAATAAGCCATGTAAGCCTTGATCTGACAGAAAAAAGATATGTTAGTAGAACTGGGAAAAAAAGGCAAAATTCAAAATGCTCTTTGTCAAAATTCAAAAACGTATCTAGTGGAAGAAGCGACAGCTGCAAGAAAGTACAATTTATTAATTAGAACCACAAACCAAGATACCACTGAGAAACAATTCAATGATTTCTTACTTCATAAAGACACAGGTTCAACCTTGCCATGAAAACAGTCTTTTGCTGTTGATATCTTGGTTTAGTAACTGAAACCTATTCTCCTTCTTACTTTTAGACCTCCGAATATCTGCACATATTGAAGAGGGAAAGCAACGCATGAAGCTCCCCTGCATTGCTCATAGCAAAAGAGAGGGTTTTGCTGTTGACCATCAAGTCTTTTGCCATCTGAGCTCTCAAGAGCAACATAACCATGATGGTCATGTTTTCCCAGCACTGTGAAATCTGGGCAGCTGGGCCTGTTTGGTGCTGAGAGGCAGGAGCAGACCCCTTGGGTGCTCCCTCATGGGAGCCTCGTGCTTGGCTGGCTCAGCTTCACTGCTTCACCACCGCCTCGCCTTGAGAACCTGGAGTTTTGTGCAGGGCAGCTCACAGTACAGAAAACTTAATAAACATGACTCTAGAGAACATCACTGTCTAAATTTAAGACAAGACCACTACTAAATCAGCAAGGAAGCAGTACTGTATTTCCATTATTTCTCTTTATTTTTATATTGAGAGAAGAGGGTATTGGGTCATTTTAACTTCCGTCTTCAATATCATCACTTTGTGGTGATGCATCAGGAAATTAAGTTTAGTCACTGATATAAACTTCAAAATCCTTGATCATGACTAAAAACATATAATGTGCAATTCCATTTCTCAGCACTGATTCAGACATTGGAAACACAGAAAGTGGATTAGTTAAGCAGGCGGATTGCAAACGCCAGTGGTCTCTCAGGCATTCAGCACTAGCTATTTTTTAACAAAAATTGCTGTCTGATGGAGGACTCTGCAAGAAAGGCCTTTCATTGGTGAATGGGGAAAAAATTATCTGTATTCTCCCTAAATTTCTCACAATCACAAACCATAGCATATATTGCCACAGTTATATCAGCATGGATATTTTAACATTTATTTTCTTTATCTGAGAAACACAGTTTGTGTATGAATTCTTCATGCATATATCTGAAAGAAATCAATTACTATATAGTTACGGGCAGAAGGAAGAAAAACAGTGGCTATATCATATTTGGCTTCAAGTATGGAAAAATACATTATTATCCAGTACCT